TTAGATCATTTTTTTTCATATGTTTCTTATTGTTATTCCTTAAAAAATATATTTCATAGTCCTTTTATGCTACATGCTTTTGCCATATTACAACATTTACTAATAAAAAGCCCCATGCATGTATAAATATATGATATATACGATATATATATATATATGTGTATGTATGTATGTATGTATGTACATATATTGAGGATAGTATCGGATAGTGAAATCTTATTTCTAGGATCAGTGAATTGTGAAATGTTAATAAAATTACACTTCATTTGTGAACTGTAAAAATGTGGTTTAAAACAGTTTAACTTTAACGTATTCCATGGAATACGGCATAGTCCATTTGCGTTTGATTCGTGCTTTTCTATCCTTTTAAAATGCAGATTATTGAATATCTGTTTAAAGGATAGTGTGGATATGTTTCATGGGTATACAGTACTTATTCCCAATCTGCTATGCATATAATCAACCAAGGGAAAGATACATCAAATAGGAAAGGGCTGCAGCAGTCTCTATTATTTCCTCAGCTTCGATGAAATCCTAGTTCGAAAGGCCCCCGCAGGGATCACTCTTGTTGAAATGTCCTCCTTTTCTCCAGAACTGTCCCCAGAAATGATGGGCAAACCGCACTCAATGGACTTGGACGACCTGCTTAAGGCGATATAATGATTAGACTGTTCGGATGGCATACCACGGAAAAGCTCAGACAATTGCCAGCGCAAATAGTTTATTTTAAAAGGTAGTTATGAAAAGTCAACTATACTATCACACTACTACTGTTGACGAGACTGCCAATCTGAAAGTTCGGAGGCAGTTACTTTCCGAATTTTCATATGATTTATAGCCTCTTTTGTGTGAATTTCTAGGGAATAAATCACATTTCGTGCGCGTCTAACGACAAGAATGCGTTTTTTAATAAATGAACAGCGCCGTGATACATATTGTTACACGATACCCCTGCTACGAGTGGTGTAGCGTAATATGGTAAATGAGTGTTTACATTTATGCTTCGTATGCTCAACAGCAATAATTTTTTTTTGAGGAAATTTATTTTTTTCAGACTTCATCACATCCTTAGTGTCGATGGTCTCTTCGAATGGAACCGATTACTTTTACATCGAGAATGAACCCAATGTTAAAATGTTGTTTCCTTCTTTTTATTATTATTTCTATTTTGTGAGGAAGAGGAGCACGTATTAAGGGTTATAAAGTCTGAATAGTTTTCCAAAACAAAACGAGTGTCTCTCTTTAACGATATAGTTCCTTTTATCAGCGACTAGATCTGTTTTGTTTATGTGCAACACATTTTTTGAAGGGCACGCTGTACTTTTCGCAACAAAACGCTACACGGACGAATAGCATTTTTTCACGAAAAAAAAAGAATAGGTTTGAAAAGACATTCCGAATTCAGGAAGAGGAAAGAAAGACATGAAAAATAACTACGCTGTGGTTGAATATTGCCTTACAAATCCTATTTATCTATATAGATGAAACGTCTGCTACGTGTATTCATCCCTTCATCTTCACATACCATCTTTTACTGCCGTTGTTGTTATGCGAGCACAGCTGCTCAACGCCCTTTGTCATTTTCCTCTCACACCGTACGAAGCGGGCGATCCTTGCATAACGCACTTTTCTCACTCGTACAACTTTCCTACGGTACAGCGAAAGGGGAAATAGTGAAAAGGAAAGAGGAAAAGGAAAATTCAGCGCCTACATCTTCCTCCACTTCCACTGATGCGCTACATGTTGAAATACCTCCTCGCCCGAAGACGATACTTCTGAAACGTTTGCTTCTCGAGAAGCGTCGTGCGCAGCTGGTGGGAAGGAAAGCGCGTGCTGAAGATGCAAGCGAGATATCCCCCACAACGCGCACTTCACGAAACATTCAGAATGAGCCCCAGTGCCCAACATCTGGAAATGAAGAAGTAACAGTAGGAAGAGGAAATAATATAGAAGAGCATTCTTTAGATGTAACATTTCCGAATACCTCAACGCGGTTTCGAGCTTTTAAGCTTTTCGCGGAAATTGTGCAACGGCATGCCGTGATACCAACCGTACAGCATATTAACCTACTTCTTCGCCTGGCAGCAGAGGAGGAAGAAAGGGAGAATAATTATTTATGGGAAAAATCGCTATTGGTGGAAGAGTTCTTCGTACGATTTCTCACCTCTACGATTGAGCTACGCTGTGAAAAGGAGCAGAAGCTACGGTGCGTTTTATCAAACTTCAAGGAAAAGGAAGGAAAAGGCCTTTTGAGTATATTGGGAAAAAATAACAATGATAATAGTATCATACTTCCATCCATGCGAACGCAATCACGGTTAGGATCCTCTACTTTTCCTTGTAATGACGAACCTTCTGATGCCTTGTTGAAGGGTGAGTTCTCCTCGGATGAGTCTGTTTTGCGGGGGGAAATACGTGAACTTTATGCAATGGAGGTTAACCTCTATCCTAATCGGCAAACCTTTGATCTTCTCATCCAAGCTGCGCTTAATCGAAAAGATTGGCGAGTGGTTTTACGGCATTACGAGAGGAGCCGCGCGATGCTCACAAGCACCGTTACCGAATATCAAGTTCAAGGGCTTTTGACTGCCATACGCGCTCTCGGAGCGCGTAAAGTTTACGACGATGATAAAAATCATGGAAGTAACGAAGAAGCCAGAAGATGGAAGGCATCCCGGGGAACAATCCGAAGGGATGAATCGGCTAAGCCCCCCCTCCACTACGAAATAGAACCCGCCTGGGGGCACTTATTCTCCATTCAATCGGCTCAGTCACCCTCGTTCGTAGCCTTGCCGTCCCATGCCCCCGAGGCCAGGCCCCCTTCCCCGCCGTTGTGGCAGCTCGGCTACGACGCCTTCACAGGGCACGCCGGGGTCCTTCAGCACCCGGCCACGCTCTGTCATGTGCTCCAACTCCTTCACGAGGCCGGGGAAGCTCAGCGGCTCCTCAGCCTGTACCAGACCCACGTGCAACGGTGGTGGCCGGATCAAATCCCGAGCGGGCTCGGAAAGGCGACTGACGCGGTGGTCCTGCGAGCGATGCGCGCCGTGAGCGAGGCGGCCACGCGGCTGGGGGATTGGGTCATCGCGCTGGACCTGTGGCAGCGCGCATCCCGCTTCAGTCTGGACTGGACACCTACCACAGGGACCGCATCCCTGGTGATGGAGGCCCTTTCCGTCTCAGGCTCGTCCTCCCCCCTTTGGGCTGGCCCCCGTCACGCGAATCTTGCCTCAACCCGTGGCATGGCGTCGTCGCCTGTGCGGCGGGAGGGGCTCGTGGAGGAGTTGCTCGTCAACGCGCTGCACGCTCTCCGTCGGGTTCGTCGCTATCGGACAATCCTGCAGATCTT